TGAATGTTTACATTAGAGTGCACGTCCTACTGCGCTGAAATTAATACGGGGAGCGGCTGGAAACTAGCGACCTCTCCTGGTTGGAGATAGTATTAACATCATAAACTGAAAGCAATCTTTATGTGACTTGCTTTTCAAATGTTTTAAAATTGATCATCCGAGTCTAATATGATCCAGCGGGCCGTACTAAAATACACTGCGGGCCGCAGTGAATGAATCCACACAGAATATCAGATCGAATCAGTCATATTAAAACAGCATGAGTGATTTAGCAGTATCGTCTTCTCTCTTTCACCCTCAAAACAGGTTCACATCAGCGCATCTCGCCTGCACTACAAGACAGCCGCTGCACGCTGCGATATGAGACTTTCGCTCGTGTTACGGGACTTATCCGAAACCTAATCGGGCCACTGTTGCACCATCACAAAACTGTATCATTTGCACATCTTTTTAAGTCTTTTTAAACCATTCAACTCATTCATATTTCTGTTTCATGCTGTGATGTGCTCATCTGTAATAGTTGTCAATGATTTTCCTGTCAGATGTTAAATACTGTAGACATTTAGTAATCGTCTTTAAGATGTATATGGTTTATGTAAATTCATTTTGGAGACGTACGTGTGCTTACAGGAGATCTGCTGTTAGCTATACATAATAAAACGTGTTTTTACAGCAAAATCACAAATATACTATACTATTAGTGTCTTCAACAATTCAACACGCTACAGTAGCTGAACAAATGCGATTTTAACACAAGCATCCGTGTTTCTGGTTTCTAATACTCACATTTGTAAACACCCTCGTCGCTGTTCTCCGTCACGTTTGATGATGACGATGATGATCCTCTCCCGTGGGCTTCTGGGATAGAAAAGTGTCCATCGAATGAGCACTTCAGAATCTGGACATCCGGGGATTTTCTCGCCTACTCTTTTATGAATACAGCGGTTTCGAGCGTACTTCTTTCTTCACGTACTCTTTTCTCCTACTATATAGTAGGTAAGTAGGCATATTCGAACGCAACTTAAGTATACGTATGTCCGAATCTCGCGAGAATTAGTGCACTCGCCTACTAATTCTCACCTACTCTTTTATGAATACTTAAGATTCAAACGTACTTATTTGCTCGCCTACTGCTTTTTGCCTACTACATAGTAGGTATGCGGTTTCGAACGCAGCCAGAGTGTGTGTGCTACTTTTAAAGGGGTGGTTCATTGCAATTTCACTTTTTTAACGTTAATTAGTGTGTAATGTTGCTGTTTGAGCATAAACAATATCTGCAAAGTTACGAAGCTGAAAGATCAATGCAAATGGAGATATCGTCTTTTAAAATTCTGGCAGTTTAATGCCTACAAAAACGGCTGGTAGGGACTACAACGAGTTACTTCCCGGGTTCGTGACATCACAAACCCAGATAAACGAACGCAACTTAAGTATAAAGCCGCCAATGTGATGTGATCCAAGATTATCTCCAGCTATGGCACACAATGTACCTTTGTCTAGCTTTCCATCAGCTAATACAAAACCATTTTCCTCAAGGTCTTTTACCAGAGTGGCAAAAACCACTGTGTTCCTAACTGCTCAACAGATGTCTTTGTGGTCCTCTTTTTGTGATCCCTGAATATATGAGTCACGTTAACTAAATGTGAAGCACTTACGCTGGCGCCTGATCTTCTTCTGATTTTTCAGCCTGAAATGAAAAAAGCTAGTTTAAGTTTTTTTTTCATTGTTGGATTAAAGGAAGGCATGAATCAACATCTTAAACAGCATCAAGTGCCTGTGATTGATTTATATGTTTGGTTCTTTCCCTTTATTATTATTTTTGCTACGAGTGTGTTCCTGCACAGCAAGTCTTTATGTGGATTAATAAAGATTGTTCCCTGTGTTTATCTCCGTCGTCTCCGCACTCCTCGTTTCGACACAGTAGGCAGTCCGTGACAACAAGTTTCTGTGTTTCTAAATGTTTCTCTGTGTGTAACTGACTGTCTAACTGTATGTGTGTGTGTGTGTTTCATTTAATGGTTTGAACGCATTCGTTCCAGCCAATCAGAATCTAGTTTTTAGACAGATCATGCTATAATTTAAAATATCTTAAACATTGTGAATATTCAATATATCACCAGCTGTAGAAGCAGCTCAAGTCTTTGAATGAAGTGTTTCTGATGTTTCCACCGCTGCTCCTGTTCAAATCCAAACCATAAAGCAGCGTAAGAATAATGAACAAACTGATTCATGAGTCTTTTTCTCATTTGTTTTTCTTAAAGCGAACACAGGACTCGTCTTTGTCAATCAGCTGGAGAGTTGGAGAGATGCTCAGAGTTACTGCAGACAGAATCACATTGATCTGGTCAGTGTGAGAAACCAGAATGAGAGTCAACAGGTTCAGAAGATCATTAGTGATAATAATTCATCTGGATCATATGTCTGGATCGGTCTGTTCAGAGTCAGAGACTCATGGCAGTGGTCAGATCAGAGTAACTCCTCATTCAGATACTACATGTCTGGTGAACCTAATAATGTTGGAGGTAATGAAAACTGTGCAGTGACTGAACCGAAAGCTCAGGGACTATGGCATGACATTTCTTGCACCAAACAATTTCCTTTAGTGTGTCATGAAGGTGAGTAGATCCTCACAAAACACACACAATCCATCATCACCTCCAGATCTCCTAAAGTTCACGCTGAATGTCTGACATGACAAATTCATGTCATTGTTTTGTTTTGTTGTATTTTGTTTGTTTGTTTATTGACCCTGTTATGTTAGCGTGTAACCACGAAATGTACGAAATGATTGTATTATAAAAATTAATAAAACGAGGTAATTTATATATATAAGAGGATATAGCGAGGGGGAAAAGATCAAATGAAGTGGTGTCTTCTTATTTTTCTTTATAATTCGTCACATTATGTCATACGCTACATTATTCATGTAAATCTGAATATTCAGCTTATTACCAGCACTTTTTTACACTTCACCTTACCTGTAGGGTTGACCTCTGCTTGTTTTGAAACATTATACAATCAAAACATTTTATAAGCCTTCATTAATATTTGTAATAATTATACTACACACAAATGTAGTTACTCATTAAACTTACTCACAACATATGACAAATATGATCAACACTGAACTCACTTCACTCAGAACTGCCACTAGGGGGCGCTAAAACTCTACAAGTGACAAACTTGGAGCAGAACAGGTAGATCTCATTGAGTTTGTCATTTAAAGAGTACACCCTCACACAAAAAAGTGTGGGCACCCCTGTTCTAAAGTCGTAACAACCTAAAAACTGAGTTTTCAGTTTTATAAACTGTTGAATGTAATTGCCTTTAAGGTACCTCTCTCTGTAACTATGCTTCTGTACTTTATTTGTCATTATGAAACATTAAATTTCAGTAAATTTATTCAAATCACATTGTCAAGATGCACAATTTTACCAGTTTAGTTAATGGCATTTCTGTTTGTTGTTGTTGTTTTTGTTAATCATTTAAGTTAATCATTCATTTGACCTTTAGATATTATTATATATTTAGATTATATTATTTTAGTTCTGTAATGGTCAGATGCCCCCGGGGGACTTATACCCCCAGGTAGGGGGTAATTTTGCCTCAATTATGGGGCAAGATGGCCCCCTTTCATAATTGTATTTTTTAAGCCATTTCAACTAAATTGTTAATTGTTTCCATTTGATTTCCATAGTATTGTGTTGGGTGACACATAATGATCCTCTACGTGCAAAACTCTATGTAAATGTGTTACAGTTTGTCAGTAGATGGACATAGTTCTTAAAGGAACACTCCACTTTTTTTGAAAATAGGCTCATTTTCCAACTCCCCTAGAGTTAAACAGTTGAGTTTTACTGTTTTCGAATCCATTCAGCCGATCTCTGGGTCTGGCGGTAGCACTTTTAGCTGTAGCTTAGCATAGATCATTGAATCTGATTAGACCATTAGCATCTCGCTCAAAAATGACCAAAGAGTTTCTATATTTTTCCTATTTAAAATTGGACTCTTCTGTAGTTACATCGTGTACTAAGACTGCGATTTTCTAGGCCGATATGGCTAGGAACTATAGTCTCATTCTGGCGTGATAATCAAGGAACTTTGCTGCCGTACCATGGGTGCAGCAGGCGCAATGATATTACACAGCGCCTGAAAATAGGCTTATTGGACGTTACCTAGCTGGGACTATTTTCAGGCGCTGTGTAATATCATTGCGCCTGCTGCACCCATGGTACGGCAGCAAAGTTCCTTGATTATTACGCCGGAATGAGAGTTTAGTTCCTAGCCATATTGGCATATTATTTTAGAATTGCATGGAAAAACAGTATGTCCAGCTATAGACAAGCTCTAAAAGCTGCCAGGGCCGAGCATATCCACAAACACATATCGCAGCCAAACTAGTCAATGCTTGTGTTTACACCAGTCGCGCTGCGACATGTTTCAGAAGCGTCCCAGCGTCGCTAAAGATAGCTGCCTAGCCTGTTTTGTCCAAGCCGCACAGTAAATACAAAATAAAAGTTAAAAAAATCCTGTCAATTTCAAAATAAACACCCTGCGCAGACTCCCGATCGTATTTCACATCACTATATCCTTGCCAGGAGGCCAGAAATGGTATGTGAAATATAGATACAAGATAATTGAGGATGTATTTTAGACGACTATATACAGCTACAAATCTTTTATCCTTGTCGCTCATAACTGGACTTTTAAGTGTATTAACTTTGTAGTCTACAGCACAACAAAGTAGGGCATGTCAATAAATACAACTATAAACAAAATTAAACTGGACAAAATATAAACATTTTGCCAACTTAACTATGTTTGAACACAAATAATCAAGACAAACATTGTAGGACAGGCATATCACGTGTTCTCGCGAATCCTGTCGCTTCTCTTCTAAAATGCTCCAGGTGTGAGTTGGCACCGCGTGAAGGACGGAACAAAACCTCATCGGAGCCGTAACGCGCCACAGACGAATAAGGGGTTACTGTGTCGTGTTTGTCAGTTCAGTTCATTTACATAGTTTCTTTGCAATAGCAGGGCTCGCAAAATCGCCAGCCCGACGTCCTGGGGCTATTGTGTTTTCTGGGCTATTTTGAATAGTGATATAAAATCCCTTCCTTGATTCTCATTGTTCACTCGCTTGTAGGGGTGAACCGGATCATAGTTTATCATTTACACGTATCATTTACACGTGTTCACGTGTTTCTAAGTCTTACCAATTTAAACATTTAAGCGTTTTAAACCATGCGCATGAAGAATTCAGTTCGGTGCTCGCGCGCACACGCTCAAAGCACGCACATACAAAGCGGCGTTTCAGGCAGAGCACGAACACAGAATTGATTCCTCTTTCGCTTGAATGGACACATACACTCAAAATTATCAAAAAATAACTATCTCGGCAAGCATTTTCATGTCTTAAATTAACGTAAACAGTGGAGAAAGAAATCGCACGTGCATCATTATATTGGATCCGTGCATTCGGTCTTAAAGGGGCAGCAGCCTATAAATACCTGCTGTTTGAGCGCCACCTGCTGTCAGAGAGTGACATTTGCGTCTCATTCAGCCCGTCTGCTGTTTTTGTTTCGTTTAGATTTTTTATGTAGTATCACAAAACTAAAGTCAGACCATTTTGTTTTTGTGTCAAATTTCAAAATGTTACAATCTAAATAACATGATTAAAATACACAGGTAAAACTTTAGTTTACTTGCATGGAGAAATTTCTTTTATTTGTATTATTTATAAAAGAATTGTGAGAAAATTGTATTGTGAAATCAGTATCGTGAATCATATCACATCGTGAGTTGAGTGAATCGTTACATTCCTATATGATACAAGTTTTTGCTGTGGTATCGAAGTAGTAAATTGTTCTTTAAATAATAAGTGTTACTTAAATGGGCCTATTAAAGAACCATATTTTTTTTGCTCATCTGAAAAATTATCTGATCTGTGACTCAAAATGTGATATGATAATGTATTATAATCCGGACAGTAAGATTTGTGATCCGTTGCACCCCTACTCTCTTGACTTGTTATTTGAAGAAAAAATACAATATCTTTTATTCGGGCTAGTTAAATTCATTTTTGGGCTACTAAAATCTGAAGAATGCCTGCCCGAAGGGCTACCAGGGATTTTGAAATCTTGTGAGCCCTGAATAGTGTGGTTTGAATGTTAGTACGTTTGTTAATTAATGGTTAAGCTAAATTTAACTCACTCAAAAAATACAATAATTAAATGTGCACAATTTAACATTGTAATGTAGCTGGTAAATCTGATAAACAAACACCACTGGAGGTGCTGAATTATCCTCCTCATGGAACGCACAAAGTGACATGACATGTGGCCAAGTATGGTGACCCATACTCAGAATTAGTGCTCTGCATTTAACCAAAGTGCACACACACAACAGTGAACACACACACACCGTGAACACACACCCGGAGCAGTGGGCGCTCTCTAACCATTAGGCCACGACTTCCCAGCAGACTTAACAATTAAAAGACACACTATTAATTAAAACCATTATTTTCATCTCAACTGTTGACATGACAGAGTGTATATTTAATTATTTATGAATTGACATTTTCATTCATTAATGTTTCTATATTTAAATTAATTTCCTCTTGTAACTCATGTGTAAATGCATTTATGCACCTTTTTGCACTTTAAATGTAGCTTCTGTTGCAGTATAGAATGGCATAAGTGAATGTGAACATGAGTCATGTATAGTCATTGGAGATATTCATATGCATGTTAATCAGTGAAAGAAAGAGTGAGAAAGAGGTTCAAGTAGCAAGCATGTTTTGTAACACCGGTAAATGAGATGTACTGTTATAATGTTGACTGTGAGTTAGCATCATATGAAGAGGAAGCAACGTCACCTGTGTACATAGCGAAATAATCATAGGCACATTCTCTGTGTGTATGATTTGTATTAATAATGAGTTGAATGTGTTGTTGCTGTTGTCTTTTATTTGCATGTGTCATTACATTGTGTGCATACAGAAACATACAGACCCTCCAGATCTACCACATTCAAATTAACTCACTTCTGTAGAATTACAGCAACAAAGAGCAACACAGAGAAAAACACATGAACGAGGAAGAAAAATGAAAAGGGCTTTTGTTTAGAGTAATAAACAAATGATGTGATGCTGAATGAGGGATGAGAGATTATAAAACATATTCAGCTGTAGATGCACATATAAATACGAAAATATGTTTATTGTACAGTTCTTCAACAGGGAGTTTTATTATATATATATTGTGTATATCGAAACAAAAAAAGGTTAACCAACACCTATCACCCATGTGAAAAAAGATGTGTCCCTTTAAACTTAAAATCAGATTTTATATATATATATATATATATATACACGTGTGTGTGTGTGTGTGTGCGCGCTGTAGAACATGAATTATGCTGAATTATTGTTCTTGCCTTACATTTACATCTGGAAGAGTATTTCATCTGCACTGAATTTCCTCTACACTACATTCT